GAAGAGGAACAGGCCAATTACACTGCGTTCATTACGGCTGTTAATGAGTTCAACGTCGAGGCATTGGGGGAAGCAATAGTCAAGCGCGTGAAGGATATCGAAACACTAGCACGTAAATGGCAAAAGGAAGCTCGGGGTTATCGTGAGAAGTCACATCGTTTCCAGAGTGAATCTCATGAGAAGATCGCGTACCGGTCTTTCAAGGAGGGGGATCTTGCACTATTCTTACCGACGCGCAACCAGGCCATACGATCCTGGGCTGCGTTCAATGTTGGCGCTCCCCACTACTTCCTCCGAGAGCAGGAAGTGCACAAACTACATACTCGCGACTGGCTTCTTGCCCGAATCTCAAAGATCGAGGAAAGAGTGGTTGATCTGTCGAAATCCATGAACGGCACGAATCCGGATCGCCGTTCTATTGCGGAAACAAGTGATGGAGCTTCAGTTATGGATGACGACAACCCATTCGAACTCTCCGATGGTCTGCGCTGGTACCTCCTTGATGCGTCGGAAGAAAAGCCAGGGGCACCTAGTACACCAGGACTAGCTAAGACTACAGTTGCCTCGGCCCATGTGGATGCGAAAGGCAGTATCCGTTTGAAGCGGGGATCTAATGGGGGTGGGGCAACGAAGACGTTGACGAAGAATCTTGATAGCAGGCGAAACAGCTCGGCATCGAAGATAGGCACTCCAGTGCCCGCACTGCAATCTGCAGAGTCGATCGGGGATGGTATTGTTTTGCCAGCGGAAGGGGATTCGGGTGCACTGCGGCGAAGGGAGGAAGCACCTATTTTCGACGAGGTTCGCAGAGATCTCTTATCGGGTCCTTCAGGCAGAGAATAAAGAATATTCTTTTCAAGTAAATGTCATTTATTGCAATATTTTCTCTCTACATTTTTCTATTTTCTTTCTCTATTCTCCTTTTCTTTCTTTGTTTGTCCAAAACATGTTTGTTTGTCGGCTGATAATTTCCCCTGTCTGTTTCTTATATCTTCCCTGGAAATAGGGTGCAAAACGGGACAGAGCTGGTTCTCAACCCGGAACTCTTAGCCGGAATAACAGCGGCCGTGCAAGCGCCGTTCCTTCTTCACCCATCTCTTCGCCGAACAAACGCGCATCGAAGCCACGGCCTTGGGAGAAGCTTTGGTCGTTGGACTACCGATCTGAAAGTCTAGGTGACAGGTGGTAATAGGCAACAAGATCTATTATTTCTCCCAGAAATCGAAGAGTAGATATGTCTGGCAACAGGAAAGTTTGAACCTTTGCCTGAGACACTCCCGCTGTCCGTTATCTCGTACGTATTGCATGCGTCTATGATGAACCAAGCTGACACATTAGCCTAAAGGCATGTTGTGTTTTCTTAGGAAACTTAAGGCGTTCGCGTAGATTGGGACTTCTGCCTGGTTATCGGGGAGGATGAATGAAAGGCAGATTTATTGATAGACGGATACACGCACATCTTATCCTTAAGTTTGGTTGCCTTTTGATCTTATATTCTTTTCCATATTTCTAATTTTTCTATTATAATTATTATAATTAGTTCAAGAGAACAAATGTTATCACACCATCCATTCCCCCCCCTTTAACCCACCTGGAGATTCAATTAGGATATTTGGTTAAAAGAGTAGTGAGGTACTTGTGTGTCTAATGCCATTTGTTTTTGGATTTGGTATCATTCCCCGTTGTTTGCATCTTGTTGAATGAAGCATATTACTGCACTGTTTACTCTCTCCTCTTTTATGGGTCAGCTTCACAGTATTGTTATACAGAAGGCGCATGAAGGATATATTCATTATTAATAAATCTGACCCCATTGGAATTGGTATAGCTTTCTGTTGCCAGTATATTTTTGCCGTAACCATTAACAAATGTACACAAACGCTCTCATAAACGTATACTCGGGTATATATTCAACTCTGGGAAAAATGCCATTCAAAGAAAAAGAACCATGGATTCCAAGCTATGAATAAACCAAAGACCTCCTATTCGCATTCCTCCTGCTTCCGCCCTGCACTACCCATCCCTCCCAAATCCCCCAGCCCACTCAAAAACTCCTCCGCCCTCCTCTTGCCCCTAAGTTCCTCAATCTTCCTCCGTCTCTCCTCCTTCGCCTTCTCTCTAGCCTCCTTCCTCCTTTTCGCCATATCTCTCTCACCAAGCGTCTCCTCCCTAGCCTTCAGTAATTCATCCATCTCTTCTCTACGGGTCGCCTCATCCTTTGAAAATGCATAGAAGCCTGTGCCGCGTGTACGGACTTCCGCTTCAGCATCGTAATGCGCTTCGGGGGGAGGGGTTGGAGTGCGATCGCGCGTCTTAGCAATATGTTCCATGCGCGCACTGATGTTGGCATCCGGGTTGAAAGCTGCGGATTGGATTGTAGAGCCGTAAATGAGTTTCGATGGCCGGTTCGGTTTAGCTGATGGGAGTATTATCCTGCTAGTGACGTTGTCATTATTATTATTACTGTTCCCGTCCGGATCTTTGCCGTCTTCGTCAACTGCTATCCGCGGTGGGGCGCTATGCCGTTGCAAAGCTGCCTCTGCAGCTTCCGCACGGGTACCTCGACGCGAGCGGCCAAATTCATCGATGTAGTCGACAAGCAAAAAGTCCTCCGTTTCGCGATCGTCCTTGTCTTCGTCCTTGTCCGAACCCGACGGAGAAACTGAATCTCGCGCCCTACGTGCCTTTCTCGCCTCCTCTTCTGCCCATTTGCGATCAAAGTCGACAAGACTGTTACTTTCCGCGCGCCTCACTGCAAAAGCTGCAGGGTTTTTCAGGGCGCTTCCATTATCTTCTTCATCGCTGCTGTCCAGGAGGTGTTCGCCCTTCTTCAAATCCGCATAAAGCTTAGCCTTTTCTTCCAGTCTCCGTTTGGAACGGTGAAGTGTAGCATCATCCACGTAGCCAATATCTACTCCTCGTTTGTGGACCTGATGAATAACGTGAGGCGAGTCTCCTGATATATCCGCAGCGGCGCGTTTCTGCGTATTCTTGTTGTGAACGGAGAAGATATCTGGCTTTGATCGAGAGGGTCTGAGCCGGCCTTTTGTAGATGGCGCACCAGATGAGGAGGTCGAGAGATTCGATTCTTTAGATATAAGGGCGGAGAGATGAGTAGTGAAGGCTAGTGTGGAGGAGGATGTGACGTCTTTTTGCGAGGCGGTGGATTTTGGGCGGCGGATGCCATATAAAGATTGCGGATCTGGCGGCATACCGGAGGCGGAAAGGGAATAACTAAAACCAGAGAGGGGGGGGTATCTGAAGTAGAACGGGTAATTTATCATATGTTTAGTCCATGGGCCATAGTTAAGGTGAAGAAGTAAGCTGGCAGTGTGTGAAGTTGTGAAGCAGACAGATATGGCCTGGGTTGGATGAATACTGAAGCTGTAAGAAAATTGACGTGGTGGCTGAATAAGTCAGCAGTTGGCTCTCCTATTTAATTAATTTCTTGCCCCGCAAAAACACCCCAGTTCAACATCCAGTTCTCACCCCCCACAGCATAACGGGGATATCTATTCTAGATAATTGGCCTGATAATAATTTCTACTCAATCCTAGATACTTCAATTGCTACTAATTGTCCCCTTGCAACCACCTCACATCCACTGAATCATCATGTCCGGCAAAACCATCTATCTCGGAGTCATCGGTGCGCATGCCGAGCAAAGACTTAACCCCACATTTACTTGAGAAATATATCCTCAATGCTAACAAAAATTCCCTCTCCACAGGAGTTGGTGGCGTCGGAGCCCACTTCCTCACCCAATTGTCCCGTCTCCCCAATGCTCCCTCTCTCGTCCTGCTTGCCCGGTCTTCGCAAACAGTCACCTCCCCCACGCCCAGCTATTCCCCCGCAATTGTTCCGTCAGACTGGCAATCTGCCTTCTCGACCTCCTCCTTTGCTTCATACACCCAATCCGGAGCCTGGAACCCAGACCAGATCGCCGCATATCTGTCAAAAGCTCCCGGCCGCGCCGTTTTGGTCGACAATACCTCCGACCCCACAGTTGCGGATGCGTATCCCCTCTTCCTCAGCAAGGGCATCAGCATCGTAACCCCGAACAAAAAAGCATTCTCCTCCTCGTTTGATCTATGGAAGAATATCTTCAACACAGCCGCTAGCACCTCCTCTCTCGTTTACCACGAGAGCACAGTCGGCGCCGGTCTGCCCGTGGTCTCCACCCTGCGCGACCTCGTCGCAACAGGTGACCGCGTTACTCGAATCGAGGGGGTGTTCTCAGGAACCCTTTCTTTCCTATTCAATACTTTTGCTCCTGTCACAGCTCAATCTGGCGTTTCTGCGCAGAAATGGAGCCAGGTCGTCTCCCAAGCCAAAGACCTCGGGTTTACTGAACCGGATCCCCGCGATGATCTGAATGGCATGGATGTCGCTAGGAAACTAACCATCCTTGCACGAATTGCTGGCTTGGAAGTGCAGAGTCCAGAATCATTCCCGGTTGAAAGCTTAATTCCCGCTAAGCTCCGGGGGCTCACCAGTGCTGCGGAGTTTATGCAACGTCTTCCCGATTTCGATGATCAGATGGAAGCCATCAAGAACCAGGCGGAGGCTGAGGGGAAAATTGTGAGATATGTTGGCAGGGTAGATGTCGAGGGCAAGGTTGTTAAAGTTGGATTGCAGCAGTTTGATAAGGATAGTGCTATTGCGGGTCTGAAGGGAAGTGACAACATTATCAGTTTTTATACTGAAAGATACGGGAAGAACCCGCTGATTATCCAGGGTGCTGGGGCTGGTGGTGCCGTTACTGCCATGGGAGTTACGGCCGATCTTATCAAGGTGCTCGAACGACTTCACTAGGAGATTGAATAGGACCTGCAGCCCAGGAATTATGTGATGATACCAAGAATAGAATATATATATATATATACACAAAATATGAGGAAATTTGGAATAGCAACGCACTTAAAGACCCGCATTAGTAGTTCAACTTCAACAAAAGTGAAATCTATTCACAGAACAAGAAGAAAACCTCACAAATACTTCTAACTTCTTAAAAACTCTTTCACCGCATCTCCCCACGCTTGTATCCGTTTATAACATGCCATCTGTGGCATACTGCCCTCCTTAACACCATCAATTGCCGTCACCAGGTCCTCACCCGATCCCTCCTGCTTGATTTCCTGGATTGGATATCGGTATGTATGGAATGAGAACACTAGGGCCTTAGACTGTGGCAGACGGTAGAGAGTCTGACGCTCACAGCGCAGGAAGGTCTAAGCGGTTTCCCCATTATTAGTTTGATGTTCCCCGAAAAAGAAATATATATATAAGAATCCTTCATCCTATAAGGCATCCAAAAGGGTAGGGGTTTAAGGAGAAACTCACATTAGCAACATCCAGCTCTTCAAGCTTAATCGGCGTTATCCCTTCCCCTTCCACGGCATGAATGCCTCCAAACGGCGCAAACAGCTCCGCCCCTGTCGTAACACTCCAATTGACACGCTTGACATACTTGCCCGGCTCCAGTTTGTGGAAAAACCGATCCATACTCTTCTCCAGCTTTACCTTGTACCCAGGCACCGGTTCGTGGATGTCAGCTAATACTTTGCCAAGTTTTTTCCGCGTGTCGAAACCGGACGGGAAACATGTCGCATACGCCTGGAGGACGTACTTGACCGGAACTGAGTGGCCGGCAGATGAATCGTCGCTATCTATTTCCTTCTTTTCGTGCTGAGAGTTTCCACCCCTTTCGCTGTCGACAGCTTCATCATCACTATTCTGTTCAGGCAGCAGGATTAACATATCCTCATCCACGGATTTGATCAAGGTTTCCAAGATACTTCTTGTCGAACGAGTTGGGCTGATCTGTATTGGGAAGAGCTCCCTCGTGATAAGATTGCGGACCATCAGGGACGGCCCGGTTTCGAACTCGGTCGGGGCAAGTTTGAACATCTGCGGATATCTGCGGGGTAGATATATCCCCATAATGTACCTATATAGCTCCTCAACCGCCTTGCGGATTCGAGGGTCTGCAGCGTCGTCCTTGTTCACGCGGCAGACAACATCGGGATATTCCTTGAGCAGTTCGCGACGGTGAGTGATCCGTTCTTTGTATGTCTTATCCATCGGGATAAGCTCATTGGGGTCGAGATTTTCGAGAGCTGTGGGAAAAGTAAGCCTTATGGATACATATTTCACTGTTTGTTTTCAATATGCCTATTGCCGCTCTCTATCCTGCCGAATATGAGGTAGAAAATGTTGATTTCATACCCATTGTAAGGTGGTATTTTGGCTTATACGGTCTCAACTTGAGCGGCTCGGTCTTTTCCCAGTTGAAGTCTTTTAAGGGTTCAACAGGAGGAAAATCTGAAGTAGATAAAATAACTTCAAATTTCTTCTGTTTTTCAATTTCTGCTCTCTGTATTTTTTTATTTTTTTATTTTTATTTTTACACTGAACATTAGCCACTTTCAATAATAATAATAATAACTACCGTTGGAACATTTATGGCCATGAGCCTCCTCAAAGATGCAATACATAAGCCCGCACTCGTGAAATGCGCATATATCCAAGAAATATAACATACCTTGCTGGCCCTTTGCCGCTGCACTACCATCATGATGAGTGAGCACAGCACAAGCTTGGTCATAGTATTCATCATGGAGAAATACTGGATCAAAAGATCCATCGCCTTGGCCATCTGGTCCCGGTAGGGAACATAATCAAATAGCAGAGCTGCATGACCCATGCTGCCTGACAGCCTTTGCTTTGTATATTTTTCCTTTTTTTTTTTTCTGTTTGTTTTCTGAAAGTGCTGGACGGGGGAAGTTTGAATTCCGGTTATAACTTACCACCGAAACCTGGGGAAGCTCTGGAGCCGAAGCGGGGGAGCTTTCAGTTATCTCCTCATGCACAAAAGGATAACGTTAAGACATTGTCCAGGACGCGCCTCTTGCCGCTGAGATTATGGTCAATAAATAGCAATGGGATTGAGGATTCGTAGTCAGGGTGCAGCTGCTAATCATAAAAAAGAGGATTGTCGCTTTATTTGACTAATTTACTAACTGCCGCCTAGGCTGATCCGCTTTATTTTGGAGAGATCTACATAATTACTGTTCAGCCTAAGAAATTTACTTCTTCCTCCATAATAACTAGTGCGGGGAGAGTGTCTTTGTGTGTCCGCATTGAAACTCAGGGATCTATCTATCATGTTGTCGACGTTTCCTGTGGCTTTCTTATCCGTGGATGGATGAATTTCAACGGCATTTACACGCGGTGGAACCGGCTGCCATCCATATCTTGCAAATTCCACTCCAAGTTAGCCCTCAGATTGGAACAAAGAAAATCTCTCAGAAAAAGTTAGCTTGAGGTATTTAAATTATTCACGTCCAGTCTCCCTATTACTTGGCCTTGCCATGACCCCTTTGCAAGCAGGCGATAGCGGTGTTTCCGGATCCTACAACCCTACGGCAAGGCTTCTAGCAGGCCCCGTTTCCCAGGCGCCAAAGACAAATAGTAATAACCCTTGGAATAAACTTCCTAACTCACACACTGGGCTTTTCAATTCCATCTTAGGGTTGCGAAACTTTGCAAGTGTGTTGTTCGTGCAGTCAAGTTTGCCAGGCAATGCGCGTTTGGGTCCTCGAAAGCGCGCTGGAGAACTATGCACTGTGATGTCGCAGCATGCAAGGCAAAAAAGGGCTCATGCAGTTGCTGCAGGGACACGAATAGGTTCAACCTGGAGCACATCGGTCCCGTCTCTGCCAAAGGTTACACGGGTTCTTCAGCAAGACCGAAGGGTAAAAAGGGGAAAATCTCAAAAAGCCAGGAAGTCCAGGACGATGCTGCAAAATACAAATAATCAGACACAGAGCTTTAACTAACTCCAAATCAACGCCCACGCCCTGAAACTGCGCAAATCCGTACAGGAGATGATAAAATCAAACCTGTGATACAGAAAACCTCTCCGCACAATAGCTGGTTCACAAGGCTAAGAAAAAAGAAAATCCAATAGCAGACAAATAAATAAAGCAACTGCGCATATGTCACCCAAACCAAGAAAAGAGACATGAATTGAAAAGTAAAACGGAGTCCCAGTGGAACAAGGTAACTTAACCTAGTTACATACGAGTGAGATAAATCGATATCGACGATGCCCGTTTCCTGGTGGTTGCAATAGCGCCTGGATACACATGCAGAACAAGCTCAAGTGTTGGAGTATTTCACAACTTCAAAACAACCATTGACTTCGAAGGACAGGCTTCGACCCACATCATCCTGTTATCAGTGGGTTTTCTGTTTGCGCGCAGCTGCAATCCTACGACCTAGGAGTTGATCAAGGACGATCCGTTATCAATCTTCAATTACTGACTGAGGTTTGGGCACTAGTGGCAGTAGTAGCATTTCGACAGATTCGTGTTTGGAATAGGGGAGGTTGCTGAGGAGCGGTACGAGAATCGAGGGTATCTGTGACGAAAGTATAGCGTTTATACATGCACACTTGATAGGAAGCGGTGGTAGTAGAATCCGGAGTTTATCAGAAGATGAAAAATGTGTTACCTAGCTTCCTCCATCACCGTCGATTCCATCTGGTTCCGCATACAATTTCCTATATCTAACCCCAAACCCAACCCCAACCCCTTGCCTTTTCTCATTATCTTTCCCAGCATCGCCAAAAGCATCATCCTCACTTACGATGCCATCGCCAGAAGAATTATTCTCAAATGGACTTCGATATTCTTCATCGCTATTTCCCAACTGCTCATTCTCGCCCTGTCCATCTTGTGTCGAACCTCTCAAACTAAATGTCCTCCTCCTTCCATCAGGTCTCTCACTGAAACTCGGAGCTTGGGGCCTCTGTCTCCCCCTCGCCCTGCCGCCGATGATGGGGATCTCATAGGTGCAGGCACGCCAGATGTAAAGAAGTATATCGTAAAGAATTAGGAAAGCCCAAGGGGCGATTATGATTGTGCCTAGAAAGATCTAACACCATCGACCAGGAAAACAAATGCGTAAGACAGGGAGACAGGAAACATGGGGTGGAGAAGAGAAAGGGGATAGATGGAAATTGACATACGAATACCCGAACCAACCATGCTTCGAACGCTGTTAGTCCTGGAGGAAGCAGTGAGTACCACGTCATGGTTGGTCGCCGCTAGCCTCAGTCTCGAAAACGCAACGAAAAGAGGCTACTATCTGGCGCTCTCTTTATTACGTGAAGAGAAACGGGAAGCTTATAGGCCCCCTCTGTATCCAGATCCGAAAACCTCTTGCTCTTTTGTTCCCTCCGCCCTCCTTGATGCTCTTTGTCAGCCCCCTTTTGCTGCTCCCTTGAGTGTTGGAAAGAAGCAGAACAAGAAGCTTGTGCTCTTCCTAGAAAACGCATTTGTTTCTGGAAAGTTCATATATGCAGGTAAATATTCTATAATCCCTCATTATAGCTCATTTTCGAGGGGCTCGAGCATGGTGGGCCTTTCGAACAATACAGGAGTTTACGGAGGAAGAGTTTGGAGTTTGGACCGGCGGGTAAGATGACGAGTGTTGTTCGTAGCTCTGTGCAAGGAATAAAGAGCGTATTATCTGCAGAGAACTGATGGGAGGAGGCCAGAGGAAGAGTCTGATACGTTACGATAGGGACGCAGGTCTCAGCATCAACAGCCCTTCTGAGTTGGTTGCCTTTACAAAGGTTGTTCAGCCTACGGAGCAGTTTGCGGGGATTGCGCCAGCTTCAGGTCAGCAACCTTTGGGGCAGCTATGGCCGGATCACGTGATGTCAACCTCCCATCAGCAAATGTTTAAAGGGCCTTTTACATACGAAGAGGAGAGTTCGGTTGGATAAATTAATTTACGTTCAATGAACCTGAACGGACCCTTGTGGTTAGGTAGCTATTTAGATATAATTCGCAGCACTACTCCAACCACAGGATCTAAGAGAAATGATTTTAACACCCCAGAGATGCACAGGAAAACCCTCTATTTTGTATCGGAGTGATAGATCCATCCCAATGCACAGGAAAAAGGGAAAAAGAAGGGAAAAAGGAAAAAAGAGAAAACATGTGCCCTACATATCCCACCGTCTAAATATCTACTTAAAAAACGCCAACATCGGCATTCAGATACACGCTTGTATATGCATAAGTCTATAAAAGGAAAACACAATACCTTGAAACATAACACATCAGACGCCCCCACCCAATGTTTCATAGAAGTTCCAAAAAAAAAAAATTACCAAGAGAAGAAATATACATAATAACAACAATTGCGACCTCCCATAGTTGATAGCAACCTGCATGCAATCAATTAACATCAGGGGAG